ACGTCAAACTGGCAGTCCGGAAGGAAAACCAGCTCAGCACCAAGCTAAGCACACCACCTTGGGCTCAACTTCCAGATTTGTCACAGGAAAGCTTTCTAAAGAGCAGCGCTTGACACTACCAGAGATGACACAGCTTTTTCCAGCACAACAAAGCCAGTGGAGCTTATTCTGTTCGTTTTCAGACAAAGTTTCTGGCGTGGGGTCTCTCTGCAGCCAGCGATGTGCCACGTTTGCTTTTCTCCCTTTTCAGTTCCTTCCTTGCAAGCTAAGCTTCTTTCTTTCTACAGCAGCAGCCTTCATTTCATGCCTGGCTCTTGTGAGCCTGGATCTTGTGATCAATTGCATTAGAAGTCTACAGTCAGCAAGAGCAGGAAGACTTCCATTCCTTGGTCTTGTACCACTGATGCCGAGGTGTAGGTGCTTTAAGCTGTACCACTTCAGCCTCACTAAGACTGTTGTTTCATGGATGTCTGTCCTGTTGTGAGAGCAAGACGACAGCCACAACCCAACAGTGAGGTCAGAACAGGGCGTGTGATTTCTTATCTGCAGAGGTGATATGACCTGGCATGCAAGGCCTAACACAATGTACCTGCCCCAGCCTGGAAGAGCCCTGCTGCCAGTGCGGGTGGGCTGGTGGCAGCCAGACCCCTTGGGCAGGTGCCCCGAGGGACCAGCCAGCTCCAAGGGCACTGGCAGGAGGGATCGGGACTGGGAAGCCCCGGCTGGGCCCAGGGGCTGTGCTGGGTTCTCAGCCTGCACGGGCTCTGGGTCTGGACATCCCAACAGAGAAATGCAGGTAGAAACACATTTATAAAGGGAAAATATGGGATGCATGTTTTCTGGAGGTGGGACCCTATTGACTTTGCCACAGTTTCCTTCTTTTAAACCAGAGATTTGACTAATATTAAAATCACTAAGTTACCAGGGGAAGGCACTGTGATTTTGTGGCAGCTGTTACTGCTGCTTCAGGAGAGCAATAGCACACCCCTGGTTGCAAGCAGCACCCTGCAAAGGACAGTACATGTTCTTGAGCTGTGTCAAGGCTGACAGATGCTGCTGCTCTGCCAGTGGGACCTCCAAGACTCCAGCTCCTCCCAATGAACAGAAGGAGAAGCAATAGCAATGGCAGCAGCTGTAATCATTACTTCTGCTGGCTGACCCAATTACTGGGGGAAGATGCGGGCTGTGGGTCGGGGTACAGAAGGGCTGGGCAGCACCTCCTCGAGGCACACGGGCAGCGAGCACTGGCTGCAGCAGGGCTGTCGGCCAGCCCGGGCTGCTCCATGCCAGGCACCTGCCTGGATCAGTGCCACCACTGGGGACAAGCCAGCCTGGCAGTGTCACCTGGGTGGGACTCCTGGGGCAGGCAGCGTGCCCCAGTGGCAGCCACCCCCGGCGGGGCGGGCAGGGGGCTGTGGGCCCTTCCCAGTCCCAGCAGCACGTGCTGGTGGCCAGGCCCCTGTCCTGGGCACGGAGCCGGGGCTGCCCAGCGCACTTCTGGTTATCACAGGGCTGCTGGGGCTGCTGGGGAGGGCTGTCACACCCAACGGGAACACGCTGGCCACACTGGCATCCAGAGTGGAGGCACACCATATATTCACCGTAAAGAACGTGCCCAGAACACAAGTAGAAAGGCAGCTCAGTAAACAACTGACACAACAAACTGTTCACCCAACAAAACCCTGCTTCTCCATCCAAACATCATTTGTTCCAGCCCTCTTTAACAAAGCGTGCTCTGAGAAAAGGGTTAGGAAAAGGGGTAAGGGGAAGCACGCGCCAGCAGTTTTAACAAGAGTAAATGCACTTCTGAAGTAGTTTCTCCTCCTCTGGTGCTTGTAAAAAAGACACCATCTCATGGCTAAAACCTCAGCCAGTCTATTTCCAGAAGCATCTCCAGGGGCAGGCCCTGGAGGGGCAGGTCGGCACCTCCCACCTGCAGCCGGGTGACCGGGACTGCAGCGCCCGGCTGGCCACAGACACCCCACACCCGGGGCTCCCCTGCCTGCCACCCCCCCCCCGCCACGGGGAACCCTCTGCTGGGGCTCATTGAACTCACTCCTGAAGCATCAGAGGAAGTGCTGCAGTACTGCACCCTGAAGACACCCGACATTACCCCAACCAAGGAGCACACAGCACTTCGGGCCTCAAACTGTTGGCAACCTCTGGTTTTGCAGAAGGGAAAGGATGGAGAGTTTCTTCCATTGTAAGGCCTTCCACACTTGGAGTGAATCAAGCCTGAACAAAATGGACTGTCCTGCTGCAGTCACTCCAGTGGAAACAGCAGATTTCACAGCCAGTGCACTCCCAAGGGAAAAGCTGCAGCAGACAAACCTGCAGCTCCCCAGGTCTGACCGTTCCTATGCTAACAGCAGGGAATTAAACCAACGCAGGGACATACGGTCCTTCTAAGCTGCTTATACAGATGCACTGTGGACAAAACACTCAGCTTCAATGTTTACAGAATGGTTCTTTTGAGTAAAAAATTAAAAATATAAAAGCAAACCTCCCTAAACCCCAAGAAGCTTTTAATATTTTAGCACTTTCACAAAACATTAGGCACATTTACATCCAGTTTTAGACAACATATAAAGCATTTTCATTTGATGTTTTTTAAATGCACGGTTAAAACAAATACCTCAGCAGAAAGCCTCCAAAGCTCTCTCCCTGCCCAGGTGCAAAGTGCAGGTGGTGTCTGCAGGGAGCAGCTCTGCACTGGGGCACAGCAGGACTCACTTCTCCTGTGCCTGACAGTGCCTTGGTTGTCAGACTGCCAGAACCTGGGCAAACACACCGTGGTCTCTCAGGGTGCACTGCTTCAATAGCTAGTTTCTGTGCATACATCTCCTCAAGAAGAGCATGGACTTCCAGAGAAATCTAAGGAGACATTTACTTTTTAAAAACTTACCCAGTAGGAAGCGGGTATTCTAATTTTGAGGCTTTGTTTCTTTTTTAGTCTCTGCATTTCCCAAGAGAAGTAAAAGGGCTTTCTAAAAAAGAAACAGCCTCTTCTTTCTATGTCCTTTGCACCACCCCCAGCCGGACTCTGTTTTTCCACGACAGACGGTACCACTGCCAAGACAGCGACCCAGGATGGCTCAGAGCAGCAGGGCTCACCCTGCGTGGGCCTGAGCCCTGAGCTGCGGGGCCATGGAGGCAGGGACCCTGGGATGCCTGGAGACCTTCCTGCTACAAGACCTTCCTGCCACGAGACCTTCCTGCTATGAGACCTTCCCTGCCATGAAATCTTCCTGCCGTGAGACCTTCCTGCCACATTCCCTGCCACAGCCGCTCTCAGCTCGGCCTGCTGCCCCGGTGAGAGCCAGGGTGTCTTCAGACACTTGCCTGGGTTACACTGCACTCAAAAACAAGCACGCTGGTGAAAAAATTAACTATTCAATCCCTTTAATGGTCACAAGGCCCAAAAGAAACATTTTGTTTGGCATGTGAGAACACACCAATGTTGCAGAGTTAAAGCTGTGTCTGATTTAAACATTATGACCATATGAGTTTCATTAATACTAATTGTAGCCTTTTCTTTAGGAGGATCAGAGCAGCTGAAGCACATGTGCCATCCTCACATCATGGGGCTTTCACTCACGATCACCTATGGCTGTATGTTCACATCTTTACAAAGTAGCTTGAAATCACTCTATCCCACGCACACCACAAACAGCAGCCTAACATGAGACCACCCTCCAGACCCTCCGTTATTCACTAAGGAGAAAAAAAACAAACTGAAGAGTTTATAGGAAATATGCCCCAAAAAGTCTAGGGAAGAAGGAGATGACCATCATCATCCCAATCGACCATCACCGTGAGTTTCTGAACAGCTTGGTGCCCACCTGCTGCCACCCTGCCCCACGGTGCCGGGACCGAACTGCCAGCTGCCCTGACCCCACAGTGGGGTGCCCTGCCCAGTGCTCCCCAGTGACTCTCCCTGCCCACAGGAGGCCTGTGGGCTGCAGCCACTGTCCCACAGGCTCCTCCAGCCCCGCTCTGTGCAGCTGATGGGGAGACGGCCTGCCAGGGGCAGCTTGAAAAACGGGGGAGCAGCAAACCAAGCCTGGCATGGGCTGGGGGCAGGGGCAGACACCCGCCCTGGTCGCTGCTGAAGGGACAGTTTTCTCCAGTGCTGGCACTAGGCAAAGCCGCTGCGGTGGCAGCGCCGCGCTCTGGCCGCGGAGGGTGCCCTGGGAGCAGGTTGGGGATGGCAGGGCAGGGACGCTCCTGGGGAGACCCGCTGGTGGGGCCCGGCTGTTGCACCGCTGCCAGCCCCGGCAAGAGGAGAGGGACCCCTCGCCCCAACACCTGCTCCTCCTCCTAGTCCCACGGAGGTGCCCACGGGCCCCAGGCACAGCTCCTGTCTGGGCAGTCACCGCGAGGCTGGCTGGTGTACAGAGTGAATAGTTTATTTTACACAACATAACAACACAGCGTTGTTGTTTCTGTACAGCATCTGCCTAAAAACAAAGGCAACACCATTGTCACGGAAAAGAAATGTACAGTCTGACTGTTTTAAAAAATATCATTTTACTGATTGATCCAGAAGTGGTTATTTGTTACCTTGGAGGAAATCTAATTTCCTTTATAAAAGGCTTTTTCTGTGAAAACTCTCTCTTTTGTTTTCTGCTACTGCAGAACCAGGAAGCCAGTCCTAGAGTAGGGAAGGCACTGGTGCTGTTTCATGCTTTTTTTCACCCCTTAATCTTTTTTTTTCCTTTTTTTTTTTTTTTTTTTTAATCTCTGAATGTTGCCTTCGGTTTTGATATTAACTGAATTCAAATGAAAAAAATAAACCCCTGTGTGCAGTGGGTGGCTTATACAGACCCCGGCATGAAAAAGCCATTAATCAGCAAGACAACAGTGGACTTCCAAATCCAGTTCCCCTGGAGAGGGAGTTTCACACAACGTTTGGTGTTTTGCTTTTCGTTAAAATAAAGATTAAAAAAAGAAAAAAAAGAAAAAAAAGAAAAAAATAATGAAAAAAAAAATAAAGCAGGTCACACAGTGCTTTCCAATATCCACTCAGAACTGGAGAAAGTTGCTTTTCCAGCGCCCAGGTCCGAGAGGCCTGGCTGGAGCAGCATCCCGTTCATGGACAGGCTGAGGATCTTACTTGGCTTGGGTTGTGCTCTTTTGTAGGTGGGGGCCCCTCGGGCCGAGTCGGGGGCACGGCTAGCTAGCTGCAGGGCAGTGGAGTTATTCCTGTTCGTGTTCTGGGACTCGATGCTGCCGGCAGCGTCGCTTTGCACCTCGCTGCTTGGCTTTGGCCCCGGCTTTCGCTTCGGCTTCTGGGAGCCAGAAGTGCTGGAAGTCCAGGCAGGAGGCAAAGCGGAGGTAGTGGTGGCCGAGTCCTGGCTGCAGCCGGTCTCCGGCACCGGCGTAGCGCCCTCGCTGGCAGCCTTGCAGCACGGGGTGCCCTCTTCGTGCCCCACAGCCTGCTTGGACAGGGACTGCGGCAGCGCACTGCTGCAGCCCTGCACCTGAGCCCCGTTCGTCTGCGAGTACACGTTGCTGACCTTGGTGGCCTTCTGCTGCCCGTTGTTGTTACACACCTTGTAGCGGATCATGAGGATGATGATGAACACAAGCACGGAGGCCACAATGATCCCACCAATGATGATAATCATGGTCCCACCCAGGAACTGGGACTGCATGAAGTGGCAGCGCACGTAATCCTGCTCGGTGGTGAACTGTGTGCAGCCCACCACCCGGGTGGCCGTCAGAGAGGTGATCCCGTCATCATAGATGGCCAGGACACACAGGTCATACGCAGTCCCAGCTGCCAGGTTGTTGACCAGGAAGCTTTTGCTTGTGGGAGGTATCATTCTGCAGGAGAAGGAAACCAGCGTGAATGAACCCAGCAGACCCACAGCCACCTCCCCATGTGCTGCAGCCTCTGGCCTTGGTGAGCAGCACCAGGGCTTAGCTCCTCCACTCCTGCTTCTGTTCCCAGAGCCCTGCTCACTGTCCCCACAAGACTGCTCACTGTCCCCACAGGACTGCTCACTGTCCACACAGCACTGCTGTCCCCACCGCACTGCTGCCAGCATTTGGTGCACTGGCAGTCACTGCCAAGCCCCCTGACACAGCTCAGCATAGCAGAGCCCCCGCTGCGAGTGGCCACGTCAAAAAAGTACAAGAAATTACCCAGCAAAGAGTTTGGAAGGGTGCAAGTGTTGCAGACAGCAGTGCAGTGCCCCTCTGCACTCACACTGATGCCACCCGAAAGCACTCCCAGGAATGTTTTTATGGACATTTTTCTCAGTGTTTTCATAAAGCTGAGAGCAGTAAGACCCATTTAACTCATCTAACTTAAAAACCTTTCTGTCCATCAGATTAGCTCAGAGGATTAGATGTCCGTTTGGATTACCTAAAAATAACACCATTCAAGGTAATTTCCCTACTTGTGAGTAGAAAATTGCACCAGTCTTTCCCAAGGCTCCCACCATCTGCTGGCACAGGCAGGGCTCTGCTCAGCTGGCTCCAGCAGAGGAGGCTGCCCAGGGCTGGGGGCTGCCCAGGGCCTGGGGCTGCCCAGAGCAAGGGGCTGCCCAGGGCTGGGGGCAGCAGGTCAGCACCAGGCAGGGTGGCAGGGCCTCGGTACCGACAGGCTGGGGCTGTCTTACCTGTAAACAAGGGAGTCATCGTAAGTACCATTGTACTGGATTTGGAACATACGTATCCCAGGTATATTCCTCTGAAAATTGAATTTCAGCAGAACAGTAGAGGATGTTGCTTCCGCAACAACCACCTTCTTATCTTGAGTGACTTTAGTATCCCCATTGCTACTGCTCGTGTTGGAACCCGACTTGGTGGAAGTGGAGATATCTGAGGAGCCCGGGTCGGGCTCGTGGATGTG